GACTCTCCGGCGGGGTCAGGGGCTCTCCGGCGGGGTCAGGGGCTCTCCGGCGGGGTCAGGGACTCTCCGGCGGGGTCAGGGGCTCTCTGGTGGGGTCAGGGGCTCGCTGGCGGGGTCGGGGCGCAAGGGGGGCTCTCTGGCGGAGTCAGGGGACTCTCCGGCGGGGTCAGGGTCTCTCCGGCGGGGTCAGGGGCCTCTCCGGCGGGGTCAGGGACTCTCCGGCGGAGTCAGGGGCTCTCCAGCGGGGTCAGGGGCCTCTCCGGCGGGGTCAGGGGCTCTCCAGCGGGGTCAGGGGACTCTCCGAAGGGGTCAGGGGACTCTCCGAAGGGGTCAGGGGACTCTCTGGCGGAGTCAGGGGCTCTCCGGCGGGATCAGGGGCTCTCTGGCGGGGCAGAGGACTCTCCGGCGGGGTCAGGGGCTCGCTGGCGGGGTCAGGGGGGCTCGCCGGCGGGGTCGGGGCGCAAGGGGTCTCTCCGCCGGGATCGGGGGCACACGCGGCAGACCAGCCCCCGGCCCCCGCCTCACCTGTGGGACTGGTTGTTGAGGTTGAGCGACCCGGCCTGCTGCATCTCCTCCAGCTGCTTCCTGTTCCCGAAGTACAGGGCCAGGTCCGTGGCGATGATGGCCTTGCGGATGATCTCCAGCACCTGCTCGTACTCGCTGGAGCTCAGCGTGGAGAAGATGTTGTGTCCCTCGAGCTGGGGGAAGGCGACAGCGTCCTGCCGGGCGGGGCTGGGGCAGCGGGGCTCGGAGCGGGCTCCTGGGTGCCCCGAGCTCCCCGCGCCCGCCAACACCCCAGGGGCTCACAGCCAGCGTCGGGATGCTCCCAGCAGGAATTGCAGGACCGTGAAGTGTGAGACTGCACATGAAAATGCTCCCTCCGGGGCGAGTCAACACTCCAGTGACTTCTAAAACATTTATTCACTTATGCGCACAAGAGCTGGGGTGCAGACCCGAAGTATGGGGGTGAGAGGACTCCCCAGAGAGAGTGGGGGCAGAACAGGCGGACCCCCGAAGCCCCCGCTGAGGGAGCAGCGGGGAGACAGACGGGAGCGGCCGGCGGGGCCTGGGGTCACCCCCGGCGGGCAGGG